TAAGCATTTTCCTAAGTTGCTTTTTTGTTTTCTAACACAACGATTTTTCAAAAATAAATTCAAATTGTACTAATATTTACTGTGGAATAAGTTATTATGCAATACAGAAGCTAAAAACTCAGCTACAAGTCAACCTCTCTACAATGATATTTTGATAATTTTATTTTTTTATGTTAAAAAACAAAATGGCCAAGATGGTTCATATAAATTCACGACATTATTAATGATTCCCAATAATGACAACGAAATTTATCGTGTTGTTAGGGAGAGGTTGATGCGTACATATACAATGTTTAAAATTCAATTTTGAAATCGATTGCGGGATTCCAAGTTTCCCGTTTAATATGATCTACGGAATTATAAAAAGTTGCGGGTTGTATTATTTAATAAAAATCCACTGGCAATTATTTTGATCTGCAGTAATTTAAAATTTTTTCGATATAAATGAACATCTAAAATATGCTTTTTCGAATCAAAGGAAGACTATCGCTACCATTAAATGAAAATTTATTGATAAAACGTATTAACGAACGATATACAATTCGGGTCAAATTAGGTATTGTGTGGTGCGCAAAATAAACTCCCGTCCTTTAAGAAATTGAAAAGATCAATTCAGCTACTCGTCATCTCTATGATAAGTTCTGATTTATTAATAATAGCTGTTAATAGCTTTTCCCATTCGTATATTCTCCAAGATATTCAATATCACTTTCCAAAGTACTTAGCTGAAATCAGAATTCGTATAAAATTATTATAAATGTAACCGATTTATCAAGTTTCTCTCTTATTTGACAATAACCTCACCTTGTTTACCAGTTACTATGTCGTCAAAACTATAATTTCATTAGGTAAAAAATGAAGTTCACCTATACACAGCTTAACGAAATTTGAAAATAGCATGGTAACCACAAATGCCACCCAAATCGCAAAAATGCTTGGACGTGACCCACAACGATATGTCATATTATTAACAAATATAAATGAACAGGAAAAGTGAAACTTACCACGTTCAGGAAGTTCACCAGTCTTTAACAACCACGAAAAGGATTTACTCATACGTGTAACAAATGAAAAAAGACGTGTATTGTTACACGAAATTGACAACAATTTAAGCCTCACTTGTAGTTTGCAAATGTAGTGCAATTCCGGACTTAACTCACAATCACAGCAAAGAAACTCTAGACCTCGGAAACACATGCATATGCTCGTATTAAATGGTGTGAAGAAAATAACGATAAATCAGCTTATGATTGGACGAAATAATTTTCTCTGATGAAACCAGTGTTGATGTTAGAAAGCAGTCACAGAAGCCAAGTGTTTGGCACCATCCTAGAGAAAGATTAATGTTAATTGCTTGGCTCCTACCGTTAAAAGTGGTGATGTTTCGCGAAAAATGATCATTAATTTTTTGTGAAGAATATAAAAATAGCGGAAAAATACTTATCTTAAATTTAAAAACTCAATTATTCCATGATGCAATTAAAGAATTAACTGGAAGTTACGCGATTTTTTAACAAGACAATGCGCATTCATACTGAGGAATGGTTAACCTCAAATAAAATCGCGGTTATTAAATGAGCCGGCGAATTCTCCAGACCTGAACACAGTAGGAAGGTATTAAAGACAATATTAAGATCTTTTCGAAAACTCTGGATGAACTTAAGGTCCATTGAAGGTGGTGTAAGAAAAAATTGATGTGGTCATTTTAGAATGGTGTTATTGCAAAGGATTAATACGGTGTTTGGAGTCAAAGGGCGGGCCAATTAAACTAAACAATAATCACAATTGTATTTTTAATTTTGCATCGGACGATACTTTTTGGGGTATTGTGCATTGTAATAATACTGTATTATTAAAATTTTGTCATGTATATTCCTTTGGACATTAATTGTCTTGTCTACTATTAACTCATGATGAGCTATATAACCAGTTGGAATACTTTGACAAATTAAATTTTGTGCACGTAGATATATTTTCGAAAGGAAAGAAATTTTTGATACACATAATGTAAATATTTTATAATGAGACCAGGTCGCGCTTATTCGGGTCCTTTGAATCGAGAAAAATCTGCGATCTTAAAAAGAAATTAATGAATGAGGAACACACAACGAAGCACAGTTTAATTCGCAAGCACCTAATTGAAGTATATATTATATTATGAACACAAAAAAATTATAGAAGAAAATATCCGTTTCATTTATAGTTCAAGAAGAATAACTTGTTTCTCATCTTCCATGCACTTACATACGTGTGCAAACCTCTCATTTTCTTGTTTCCTTTTCAAACTATTAATACTCGGAAGTCTTACTTTATATGACTATGTATACATTGGTGTGAACAAATGGTACGTTGCAAAATCTGAAATGATGCACGTACTACTCGTTTTCAATTACGTAAAAATTGTTGCTCAGTACATGTGTACATGTAACGATACACGATTTCAATATAAAAAAGTTACGTCACTACGATTTCTACCAAAAATTATTTGAATACCATATTTGTTATTTACGAGAAAAATGAATTCAGGGAAAAATATTTGAAGAGGTAGTAATTGTTCTGATTATAAGCCTATAATCCTTTGTTTTTTTCAAAATTTATCTAAACTTTTTCATACCGGTAAGCATAATTCAGCTATCGATACAAGTTAGTCAGCGTAGTAGAGGGAATAAAATCTTTTTCGTTATATGTTAACTTAAATTTCAATATAGTACATGTAGAAATTTGACCTCTAAACAACCTTTTTAAAGCTACATTTTTAGCTGTTCCCGAGGCGCGATTATGTGGAAAGATAATTGTAACAAAGAATAAAATAGTTATTTTTGAAATTTCAATAGATCAATTCAATTAGATTACCATTATAATATATTACACACGCCTGCAATATACATGTAGTACGGGAAATTCCAAATTTAAATGGAATCAGTTGATTTTTGAATATTGGGTTTCCAAAGTGACAGATTCGCTTTTGGGATTTCCGGATATTGCAGGAGTGTGCATAGCCTTGCTCCACTAGATTCAATTATCTCATCTTTTATCAATGGCGTATCTCATATTTTATCAATGGCGTATATATATGAAGAGATAGCTTATTATTGGTACATGTTCTATGTACATAACTTATTGTTTACGCTTATAAAATATTTTTAATTCTTTGCGGCTTTCTCTAACATATAAAGAAAACGATGAATGAGCTTAGAAAAATAATAACAGGCAAGTTCATAATGAATTTTTTTCATTGTCACTAATTATATTGACTTTTCTATGAACTGGGTCACAGGTTAATTAGGATGTGTAAGGGGCATCAGCTAAACCCAAATATTACCCGACTCATTGTAATCTTCCGTGAATAAGATCATTCAACTGGCATCGCTCTTCTAAAAGTCACTAGTGATAAGAAAATGGAATAATCTAGTGTAAAATATCATTATCATAATATTATAACTAAATAGTTAAGTGACATGTTCATTGTGACTGCTAAAAACATGAAAATATATTTTTTATGAAACATAAAATAACATTTATAGTAAAATCACGAAAGTACTAACCACATAACCCAACCAATTGTATTATTACGTATTTAATATTTATGTTAATTAAGAATACATGTATATTTTTCTATTAAAACTAAAAATTCGGAAAAACTATTTCTTTTTCGGTGCGTGTAATGTAATTTGTAATTTGACAAAATGGAATTTTCCGGATGTCACAGGACACTTTATTTATTTAATGTAAAATGGGAATATTTTTTAATAGCTTGTTGGACCCCCACACCTCTCAATACACTCATGAACACGTCTAGATCAACTTCTTATAGGTTTTCCTGGGAATAGTTTCCTATTCTTCTTTTAATGCCACATATAATTCGTGCTTATTTGCGGGGCGTAAATTTCGTTTTCGTGCTCTTCTTTGTAGTTCACCCCATAGATTCTCAATCGGGTTTAGATCAGGTGATTGTGCGGGCCACTTTGAGAGAACCTTAACCTGTTTCTGAGACATCCAGCCCTTTGTGTCTTTGGCAGCATGGATGGGCGCATTATCTTGTTGGAAAAAATAACAGAGATGATTGAATTTCTTGTGAATCCATGGTAATAAGTTGTTTTCCAAAATTTGTATATATCCAAATTGATTTAATTTGCTTTCTACTAGTACCAAAGGACCCAATACTGTCCCACAGAAACATTCCCATACCATCACATCACCTCCACCATGCTTTACTGTAGGTACAAGTTTTTCCAGGTTAAATCTTTTACCATTTTCTCTCCAGACACGCTGTGGGCCATCACTAAAGAGACAAAACCTGGAATTCATCACTTCAAATAATTTCATTCCATTCTTTTATTGACCACTCACACTGTTCAATACACCAATCAAGCTGATTTTGCAGTTGACTAACAGTTATAAGAGGTTTTCTTGCAGCAAAATGAGAGTAAAGACCAAGATCATGCAAATGAGTTCTAATTATTTTTGTTGATATCTGAAGATCTGATTCTTTTTGAATTTCATTAACAGTTATTTGTGGTTTGTTCTCTACTATTTCCTTTAAATAATTTTTTGCATTTTCATCAAGCAAGAAAGGGTAGCTGCATCGTAGTGTACTATGGGTGCCTTCTTTAGTCTTGTAACGGGAAATTGTATCTTGAACAGTAGACTTAGGGTAACCAAGTTTTTTTAATATTTTACACACCGATTGCCCATCTTCTGAAAGTATAATAATTTTTGCATGTTCACATTCAGTAAGTTCTCTTCTATTCCTTACTGAAAGCTGGTTACTCATTTTCGCACAATTTTTACGCAATGAATAAGAGAGATCAAAGAAAAATTTGTTATTAATTGACTTTGTTTAGATCAATATTCGTGACTGTTACACTGTAGAATTATTTATAGATACTAAACTATTTATGGTAAAAATTCACAATAATTTCATTATACATTATCTCGAACAGTATTTGAATATATAAAGTGTCTGGTGGTGACTTTTTTCCACTGAGTGTACATCTCCATCAATGGTATGTAGATCTAAATTTGAAAAAATTTATAAGAAATTCATCTTTTACACTGGAAAACTTGCATGATAAGAAGTAATTCGATAACATTTCAGTTACTTCAGCAGGAGATTAAGACCTAGTATAGATCTAATAAAGGTATCTGATGCAGAAAGGTAAATATAAATTTGAAGAATAGTAAAATGTAATTTCAATCTTGCAATTTTGAGAGAAAAGTCACATATCATTAGTTGATTGTGTTTGCGAAAAGATGGTATGAAGTATACCTGTTCTCCGTAGCTTAAGCTAAATGATGCACCTATATATACATATAGAGAAAGAGAGAGTGTGTGTACATGTATGTATTGGAATATACAGCAGCAGATCATTTCATGATATACATAATGTGATGACTGATAAAGAAAATCTTTGGTAAGTCGACTTTGTTTTTGTTCTTTGTCAAATATTTCAGTTTTAGACATTTTGTAAGTCGAAATTCTAAACATGCGTAAATGTCTAAACACAGTAGCTCACAGAAGGAAAGTTTTGCGAAAAAATTCTAGTGCTTTTAAATATACTCGGTTTTATACTAATTTTAAAGCTAATCTATAGAATGACTAAAAACCGCTTAAAAAAATTATTCTTGTTATTCTAAAGAATCAAGTAATCTTTATGAATGAATTTAATTAATGAGTTATTTCACTAGCATTAATTTGTACTTCGGGAGCTAATAATTAAATGAATTTGAAATTGAATTACCAAAACTGAAAAGATGAAACAACCGAAACAATCATGCATGTGCATGTATTCATTTTTGCGCTGAAACTGCACACAGCGTTAGGTAATACATTGTACAATAAAATAAATTGGCATATCTATTTAAAATTTCTTCAGGCAAAAACATTATTTGAAAAACTAACATTTGGGTAAATATTTTGATAAAAAGAAAGAAGTGAACGCTGAATTTGAAATCTGTTCAAATTCTGCGACGCTTGGAAAGTAACATATTAGATCCTTAATCTATATCGTATAAAATTGTAAGAGAAAAGAGATTTGTAAGTATACCAAAAATAATAGAATAGCTATAAAGTGCATGAAAATACTGATACGATTGCAAAATAGCGATCTTTGGGAAAAAATTTTTTTGTTTAAATATGCATAACTTCTAAACTCATCAATAGGTTGATATAATAAATTTAATAAATTTCTTGACTAAGAACTTTATAATAAATTGGTTTTTAAAAAATTGTGCTTATAAGTAATTTGTCCTTATATAGTGTATATAAGGTTCTTATAGAGCGATGCAATTATATATATCAAACTCGAAAATTATGTATGTGTATTTGAAAAAAAAATAAAAGATAGCGGATGTAAATATATAATAAATAGCTTTAGAAGGAAAGAAAAAGATATATACAAGTATGTCTATTAAAAAGTTAGAAGCGCATTCAACGATAAGCGTCCATGAGTACGCTTAAAACATTATTATCGTCTACATTCGATATAGGAGGCTGGCTACTAAAAGTATTAGTTCCAATAATGATGCTTTGCGTCATGTTCAAATAAACAGCTGAAGATTGCTGCACATTTTGTTGATGCCGTTGGTTATTCATTTGTCAAAAAAGTTTACCGTAACGAACTTATGCTAAAGCAAGCAAGAATTTCTTCTTTGTGAGAATTTGAGCTTGGTTTAGATGGTTGTGTAGATATACGAGATAAATATCATTGAATCAATTAAAAATCAAAGAGAAGATTTCAAATTGAGAATAATATTCTCTCCTCATGAAGGTCCGTTTTATAGAAGAAATATTTCGGAGAATTCAAACATTATTGTATTTGATATTTGATTGTTAAGGTTCAGGGACAATTTGGTTAGGAAAATATTTTTTTAATTGCAGAATTACCTGTATGAATTTAAAGTTTGGGGACCAAATTGGCACGTTCTCACGATCTATGTGAATACAGGCACAAAATGCTCTGAGAGTTATTTGAATTTCTTATTCGGACCTATGCATCAAAAAATATGATTTGACTTTACACAATGATACATAACGTTATATTATTCATACTGTAATGAGCTTATTGAGAATAATGATCATTTATATTGTAGACTCAACTACTGTAATACAGAACCTTACTATATGAGATCAGACTGATTAGCAGGATCATACATATACAGCTAACTTAAATTTAGTTTGATAAAGTTTGTGTTTTTATCTTTGAATTCCTAGAGAAAGGGGGTTTGCATTTGTTTGCAAAAAAATCATCAGCACTTCTAAATTGTATTGATTTGTATCCTTATCAACATAGAAGCACGTATGTAGTCTGCAACAGCATTTGAAAAACATCTTTTTATTCGTAATTCTAATAAGCTAGCCATTAAAAATTCTCACATTGTTCACTATTAAACTTCGAAATGTTATTTGTATCTTCGATAAGAATGAAGCGTATCAATCAGTTCAGTTTTTAACAATCAGATTTACATTGGTAATTGAGATTAAAGTTTATCGCATCAATCAGTTTCAATGATAATTGATTGGTTTAAACTCTAATTTGAAAACAATAGAAAATGTTCGAGTACTTATTTTGTAATCAAATTAGAATCACAAGGTTGAAAAAAATTTTGCATAAATAGTAAATATGTTACATGCATTAGTATATAATGTATATAATGAATAGAACTACTCTCAATAGAGATTTTAGCTCGTAATAAAGAATGCCTTCGTCGGGTTGTCCGATGATGTAATAATACGGCAAAATAAAATATTTCTATGTGATATGCATACTACTGTTAATTTGGATCTTGGATGACTGGTGAAATTGATTTGATTATTGCGAATATAGCAATCACAGTTTTACAAGAGAAAGTCAATAAATCATAGAAAAATTAGAACAAAATAGTTGGGTGTCTGCAAAAATTTTGTTAAATGATATTTTCCAACTTCCAGGTACATGTTCATGTACATGTACATGCATTATCGTTAGGGTTGTTAACGGAATGCTCCAGTTTATATTAAAACATATAACCCACTCCGGCGCTGCTTTAGACTCTATAGTGAATTATATGTTTTAATATAAACTGAGCATTTCATTAACAACCTCAATTATCGTTATTTCATGCTATTATCGCAAATACATGTACACGTAAATCTCTTACACCAGCCGATCCGGAAAATGATCGACAATCGATATGGGTATTTATTGTTAATATGTCATATCAACCAATTAAATTATATGATTAAAAAATAGCATGTATCTTGAAATTTTGCTTATAAACTGCTTTTTATGTTCTATTAAAATTATTTCTTATGAAATTTATCCTATATGAAAAATTTTTTATTAAATAATACTAATAATAAATTAAATTAAACTTTTAACTATTTTTATTTTTATTTTTTTTAATTAAAAATAAGTTTAAAATATCAATATTATAGAGAAAAAATACTTATTTAAAGTATAAGTTTTAATAAAGCATAAAAAATAGTTTTATAAATAAAATTTTAAAATACAAGTTATTTTTTAAAAAAATAAAAATAAGTTTTATTTTAAAAATTATCTAGATCTTATATTCCATAAAACTTATGGTAAAATGCTTTTATACTAATACATAAATCCTAACTCTAATTCTAATCTTTTTGAACTTAACAAGTTTTTGCTTTTTTCCTATTTATTTATATTTATTGATAAGTAATATGAATTATCTCCAAGTATTTCAGTATAAAATATTTTAAAAACTGGATATAAGTAATTATTTTTTTTTATATAACTAAGAATATTCTAATTAGAATATTTTAAATATAAATAGCTTAGCTTGAATTACTAATTAAAGTTATTTATTAAATATAAAAGTAGTTATTTACTAATTTTAAGCAATTTTAAATGAAATTTAATATAATTATTATAATAATTTTTTAAAATTTTTGTTATATATTAATTTTGTAATTTTATTCTTTGTAAAAATTTATATAATCTTATATAATAATAATCAAAAGTAATGTAATGCTTAAATTTTTTACTAATTATAATTAGTAAAATATATGATTTTTCTTATATAGAAAGTTTTTAATTTTACTAACAAATATTTTTTATTTTTA